CCCCCCCTCCCGCCGGTGGGGAGCGGGGTTGGGGGGTGCATAGAGCTGCTGGCAGGTGGAATGGATTCTACAGCAATGGTTTGTTTTCTTTGCATGTGCACCCTCTCGCTCTCACCAGGGAGGTTAACCTCTAGCCCTGGGCGAAGGTAGCGCCTGCCAGTTTTCTGCACCATACCATTTGCGTGGTCTCCTCCTTAAAAGCAAGTCGGTGAATCCAGCTCCAAGCCCTTGCCGTGGCGACGACGACTTGGACTCGGGATGACTGACCCCACGGGTGGCAGCGTGGGGCGGGCCCCCGCAGCGTTTCCAAGAAGCAGATGCTCTCGCAGAAGCAGAAGGCTCCCAGGGCTTTCCTCTGAGGCGTCAGGAAGGGGGGTCAAACTGCCAATCTCTCCGCCAGGAGCCAGAGGACACCAGCCAGGGACACCCAGTTCAGCCCCAAACCCAAACAACAACCCCCACAACCAAACAACCTGTCGCCTTTATGCCGACGGAGGAGAGAGGCCCCCACAGGGTTTCCAAGGCCGTGGATCTTTCTGGAAGCAGACGGCCGCTTCGTGTTCCTATGGCGTGGCTGGGACGTTTGAACAACCAGCTTAGCAGCTGAGTGCTTAACCCTTGTGCTACCAGGATTCCGAATCCAGCCCAAGGAGGAGAATTAGCTCTACCTCCTTTAGGTAGAAAGTGCCCCCGCCCAACCCCCAAAAGTGACCATGTTAAACCCACCACCCACACTGAAACCAAAGCCACTGCCGTGGAGCCAGTTTCAATTTGCAGCAGAGGGTCGAAGTGCACTTGGTATTTCTGAAGCTGCACATCCTCATGGCGGCGTGTGACTTCAAACTGCCGACCTCACAGCTAGCAGCCTAGCACCTGCCCCATTATGCCACCAGGGCTCCTAAAAGCCACTCCTAATGAATGCACACTTGAAGGGAGCTGTTTTACCCTGAAAGCCTGGCCCGTTCCTCTTAGCCCTCGTCTGTCTGTGTGGCCTGCCCTGCAGGGCTGGTGCCGGTGAGGCTCCAACGGTGATTTTCGACCTCATTCATCCCTTCTAGATTCATTATTTGGGATTCTTCTTCCGGAAGGAAAATGTCTCCTTTCGTCCCGTGCATTTATTGAAACCGCCATCTATGCTTAGCGGTGTGGACTCACGGCTAATCTGGTGCACCACGACCGGCTTTGTGGCTCAGTGGTGCTGGCTGGAGGGGTCTCTCAGGCCAGCTCCCATGTCCTGCTGACACACCCCATATGCCCTTATCATTTATTTCTGCTCTTGTTCATTCGCTTGTTTATGTGTCCTTATTCCGTTCTGTGACGAAGCCCTTCTTTCCTTTTCAGGCCCTAGAAAATGCTCCGGGCTCAGCTTATAGTTTCCTTGGTTCCAGAATCAACCATTTCTCCAAGGTCCAATCTGTCATCAAGTCAATTCCGACTCAGAGCGAGCCTATGGGACACAGTAGAACTGCTCCTGTGGGGTTCTGAGACTGTAACTCTTTACCGGAGTAGAAAGCCTCCTCTTTCCCCCATGGAGTGGCTGCTGGTTTTGAACTGCTGACCTTGTAAATTGACCTTGTCCAACTTGTCACCCACTATGCTACCTGCGCTCCTTTTTCTGCAAGGGGCCCTGGGGAAAATGCTTCACCGATAACGATTCTGGCTTCTCCTCCCGGACACGCGGTCTGAGCCTGCTGGAGTGCAGGGATCTGGTCCATAAGAAACTGCCTGATGGCGGTGACACCCAGTTAGTTCAGACAAGCACTCCTCAGCAAGCCTCTCCGTTCACAGACTTACACACTGAGGCTCAGAGCAGAGGGCTTGCTCGAAGTGGCGAGGCAGTCATAGCAGCATTGTGATGAAAAGCGGGGTCTTCGGACGCTCGGATCGGACCTGGTTCCCTAACCCCACCCTGGACAGGTCAGCGTCACTCCCCTGGGGCCTGCAGACCGCACAGACAAGATGAAGAGCAGCCTGGGGCTGGCCAGGGACAATTGAGGCCAGGGAGCGGCCACACGGTTTTGGCGCTGGCTTCTTCCTGAACTAGTACAGGACTGACCCACACTAAGCAGAAGAGCGGCTGTGATAGAGTGTGCTGTGTGGGGCACTTCACACACGGTCTGTGGCCAGCTCGGCCCCTGGGACTCAGTCACAGGGTGTCAAAGTAGCCCCGGCAGACCTGAGCTGGGGGCATTAAGGCTTGCAAGGTCTGAGACAAAGGCAGGAGGAGGAGACAATGTGTGTGAGTGACCAAGGAGGTGACTTGTGTTTGTTTGCCAAGCCCACTGCTGAAGCTAGGAGGCCAGGGCCTGGGGGCTTGGAATAGGAAGTTTAAGCACTGTGGGACCTTGGAAAAGTCCCTGCACCTTTGATGAGCTTCTCGCATACCATTTGAAGCATGACTGCACAGCAAGGGTGGAAATAGGCTAATGCTCAGGTCAATGCGTAGGGTTTCTTAAAGCAAGGCATTAAGAAAGATTCTGGAGCTACAGTAGGGTTGATTGTAAAGGGTGCATGCACCATGCTCCATTAGTGATGTCTGCCAGGGGTGTGAAATCAGATGGTTGTTGTGTGAATGCTATTTTAAAAGGATGCTTCTCCCACCCCCCCACCCCCCCAGCTTATACTACCCATAAATGGTGAGGGTCAATAGGGTCATGAAGCCTTTGGGTAATTTCTTGGATGGTAGATGTGGTATTCCAGGAGGGGTGGAGGGCGATGGATAAGGTCAAGTCTGTGACCTCCCCCAGCCCCCAGCCTCCACAGCTCCAAAGTGACTCCTCGGGCCTCCTCCAGATGAACATTTGAACCAGTTCACTCACCTGTCACACTGGTTGCCTTCCACATTTGCTTTGCAGGGGCAGCGTCCACTGCGGGGGTCACAGGTGCCCAGGCTGCCTGCAGGATCACAGGTACAGGGCCTGTCAAAGAGACAAGACAACTGAAAAAAGTGTCTAATGAGTAACTCCAGAATTGGAAGAGCCCCCAAACCTACCCACCTTGCCAAGGAATTAACCCATCTCCTCACCCATACAGGGATCCCTCTGCTCACTCACCCACTCATTCATTTATGCACCCACCCACCCATCCTTCCATACACTCATCTACCCATCCACCCATCTACCTATCCTTCCACCTATCCATCCATGCATCCATGCATCCATGCATCCATGCATCCATCCATCCATCCATCCATCCATCCATCCATGCACTCACACATCCTTCTAGCTGAGATCTTCAAAAACCCCAAACCAAACTCACTGTCATTGAGTCAATTCCGACTCATCGGGACTCCACAGGACAGGGCAGAACTTCCCTCATGGCTTTCTGAGACTGTGACTCTTTATGGGAATACAAAGCCCTGCCTTTCTTTGGCTGATGGTATTGAACGACTGACCTTGCTGGTTAGTAGCCCGACTCGTAACCTACTACACCACCAGAGTTCCAGTAGAGTCTCTTGTGACCCTACAAGACAGGGTAGAACTGCCCCTGTGGGTTTCCAAGGCTGTAACTCTTTGTGGGAGTAGAAAGCCTCATCTTTTTATCCCCAGAGGAGCTGGGGGTTTTGAACTACTGATCTTGCGGTTAACAGCATGATGCGCACAAACACCACGCTAATATGGCCCTTCGAGCCACAATCCCTTTATGTGATGTGCTCTACTTCTGGACTCTGTGCCCGTGGCGATGGTCCTATTTTGGAGGAGTCCTTTGTTAAAGGTGGAGTGTAGACCTGACCTTAGTAGAGGGTGTGAACTAAGTCACACCCTGGGCTCAGGCGTGTGTGTGTGTGTGTGTGTGTGTGTGTGTGTGTCCCCTAAGGACTACTTCAGTAGAGGGCGGGGCTTAAGACACCATGCTTTGTTTTCCTTGAGGGTCTGGTGGGCTCCATCAGATAAAGCACCCCTCTGTCAAAGCCATTCCTCATCACATAAGAGCCTGGGGGACACAGAGGAAACTAACTGGCAGGGCCATTTGGGAGAGCACGCCAAGCTCTCTGTCGGAAGTGGCCGAGGCACTGAGACCAGATGTCCCAGAGACGGTGGCACGGAGACTCGGAGGAGCCGTGCCAAGGCCAAGGAACCCCTTCTTCTCATCTGGTCCGAGACTGGGACTGTGAGACAGAGCGGCAGGCAGCTACCTTCTTGGCAAAGGACTTTATGTGGCTGAGACCCGGGACCAGAGTGAGATTTGGCTAGCACATACTGAGAGGCTGAGAACTAGAGAGAGGCTTGGCTGCTGGCTCATGAGCTCAAAGACCATATTCTCACCGTTTACCAATCCGGACGTGTCAACTTCCCCAATAAACCCCCTTAACCGTGAGGGTTGCCCCTGGGTTGTGACAGATTATCGAGCCCAGCCTCGACGCAGAGTGGCAGGGGAGGAAGGGTTGGTGTCCGAATAGGTTAAGAAGGATGAGCACAGAGGTGTGTGTCAGGCCCTCCGCAGCCCCCTGTGACTACATCTGGCCAAGTCGGTCTCCAAGGGTCTCATCGGCCCAATGGTGTCCCTGCTCAAGTCCAGACTCAAATCTGAACTGACATCATGTCCTGGCCTTTGACCTCAACCCCCCACCACGAGTGTCAGCCCACTGCTTCTCTCAGCCCCCCCCCCCCCCCCCCCCCCCCCCCCCCCCCCCGGGACCCACTCCCCTCTGCATACCACATGCCGAGTCACCCCTTCCCCTGGGGGAACCTGAGTGCCGCAGGCTTGCACTCACCTCAGGGCCTCTGCACGTGCTCTGCCCTCTCCTGGCATGTCCACCCTCCCTCTGTCCATGCTTGGCCCTCACCCATCAGTCTCAGGTAGAAGCCAGAGCCTCTATCTGAGGGAAGCCTGCCCACAATCCCCAAAACTACCACCCAGTTCCCAATCTGGCCCCCGCCCTCCCGGGACTAGGAACCCCTGGGGCAGGGACTGAGGCTCCCTCATCCTCACCCGGGTGACAGGGTGGAAGAAAAAGAGGGCGTGGGCAGGGGCATCCCTAAGTATCACATCCCACATGGTTCCACTGCCAACTCCCGGGCCTGTGCTAGGCCGCCCTCACCTGCAGCCTCCCTCGCTGAGGGAGTGGAACCCGGGCAGGCAGCGGTCACACTTCCAGCCTGTCACAGTGGGTTTGCAAGCGCAGGTGCCCGAGCCGTCACACTGGAGGTGCTGGGAGCCTGGTGGAGGAAGGGCGTGGGGCAGTGTGAACCGGGACAGGTGTGGGCAGGGTGGGGTGGGGAAGGGGGCGGGGCACTACTCACCAGACAGGTGGCAGTCGCAGGGCTGGCATGGCATCTTCGGGTCCCAGCGGTAGAAGTTCTCTCTGCAGCGCTCGCAGTGTGGGCCGGCGGTGTGGTGGCGGCAGTGGTGGCAGCGCCCGCCGTGGCCGGTGCTGCGGAACAGCTCCGGGTCGAAGGAGCATTCCTCTGAGTGGCCGCTGCAGGTGCAGGCTGGGGGGAGGGGGAGGTCAGAGGAGAAGGGGATGAGCCCCCACCCAGCTCCTCCCTGGAGAGGTGCCTCAAACAGCCCCCCTGGAACTGCCATGGGGTTGATCTGACTCCTAGTGACCCTGTATGGACTCTGAAAGGCTGTACATCTTTAACAGAACATAGAACCTCATTTTTCTCTCAAGGAGCGGTTGGTGGGGTTGAACTGCTTTCACTGTGGTTAGCAGTCAAATGCCTACCCAACAGCGCCATGTAGTCAAAAACCAAGCCTACTGCCACTGAGCTGATACCAATTCACAGTGACCCTATAGGACAGGGTAGAACTCCCCTTTGGATTTCTGAGGCTGTAAATCTTTATGGGAGCAGACAGCCTCATCTTTCACATAGCAGCTAGTGGATTTGAACTTCCAACCTTATGGTTAGCAGCCTAACCCACAACCCACAAGGGCTCCTCAGGGCGCATAGGAGGAGAGTAAGGACAAGGTAACCTTGCTGTGCCAGAGCTTTCAGGCAGCTCCCTGGAAGGCACAGACATGGCCCAGGACAGGAGCAGGTCTGGCCTGATTAAAGGTATTAAACTGACCATGCAAAACACAAGACACTCTATCGGGCAGGGAGGGGACACCATTAACAAAGACATCAGGCTTTGGCAGGATCATCCTAAGCAAATCCAGATGGCTGATCCCTGGGTCAAGGGTGGCAGACTGACCACCCTCTAGAGCTGCAGTGTGGTTCATGCCAAAACTTCCTGCAGACCCGCTAAGGGACAATGACGGTGTGTCTCTGGCCTTTCATGTAAAACACGTCAACCTGCCTCCAATCTTTCATTCATTCATTCATTCATTCATTCATTCATCCATTCATCCATCCATTCACAGCACATATTGTTCCTGTGGCAGGCTCAGGGGGCTGTACCAGGATGGACACAGGCCCAGTTCCTGTGCCCAAGCGGCCTCATCCTCACACTGTGGTCACACTGTGGTCACTCCTGCGTCCAGGAGCTACCTACAAAGAGCAAGGGAAGAGCCTGTGGGAGGAGAATCGGAGCGGGATGTGGGGGGTGGGGGGGACTTCCTGAAGGGAGCAGGCTAAGGATGCAAAGAAGGAGTTACCAGGGGAAGGAGGAGGAGATAAATAGGGGAGCCCCGTGTGGGGGCGGGAGGACAGCACATGCCTTTGACTACAGGCCAGGCTGGGCAGGGAGGAGGTGGGGAGCTGTTGTGAGGTCAGAGGGGTCATTAGGGGTCTGAGTGGGTTACACTCTGGTGCACGGGGTCCTTGGAAGGGTTTTGAGCAGAATATGGGCAGAATAGAATCCCTGCTTCCAAAGGCGTGCTGGGCTTCAGGTGGAGGAGGGCCGGGGGCCCAGAGGGCAGAGCAGAGGGCGCTTCAGGCATGCAGTGGGGGAGGCGATGCACCTGGGTCAAGGGCAGAAGGTGGATGGACTGAGGGCGAGCAGCAGGACCCGAGGCTCGGGCCGACCTGGCCTGGGCCCAAGGAAGGGGTTCAAGCACAATGCCCTGGCTCCCAGGCTGGTAACTGGAGGACAGAGGTGTGACCACAGCGGTGAAGGCTCAGCAGAAGCCACCTGGTCCCTTGTGTCCCTGACATGGAGCCAGCCCAGCACCCCAGGCACAGGCAACACTCTGGAGGGTGTGAGCCAGCAGGGCAGCAGGAACCCATTAGGGCCCAGGCAGCCCAAAGCTGTCCCTCAGAACAGTGTCCTGCCCAAGGAACAGGCTGTCCCATCCCAGCCTGGCCACTGGCCGCTCCAGACCCAGAGGACATCAGGTCCTAGAGGCCAGCCTGGTCAGGGTGGCCTTCTCCTCCATGCATTAGCACCAGTGCCGGGCGACGCCAGGGCAGGCGGGCAAGCCTAAAGGGAACCAGATGGCTGTCTGTGGAGAGAGGTGGGCGGCGTCTGGGTGGATGGCATGCCGGGCTGGGCAGGAAGGCGGTAGCCCCCGCATGGCCCCATGCCACCAGCGAAGGTACGACGCCTCTCAGTGGGTCTCTGAGGTTTGGCAAGCCAAGCCACATCACTCAGGCGGAGGGGACATCAAAGGGCTGCCTAGGGCCATGGGAAACCCAGGGTGGGCAGGTCAGCACCCCCCTTGGATTTGGGGTGGCCTGGCTTTGATTAGCAACTGGGGCTGGAGCAGCGAAGACAAAGGAAGACGTTGGAGGCCCCTTGGCACCCCACCACCACCGCTCTCTCACTGCGGGCGCCTCTTTCTAGGGTGGACTGGGTGGGCGGGGTGGTGGTGGGGGGAGTTGACAATGAGGGAGACCGAGACTTAAAGGTTACCCCCTAGCTTCCCTGCATCCATGTGGGAGGCCCAGAGCCTCAGCTGGCAGCCAGGCCTAGCCGTGTGGAGCCCCACAGCGAGGCTCTGGGTGTGGGTCCCTCCCGGCCACCACTCACGCAGGCACTCCTGGGCGGCCTCGGCTGTGCTGCGGGCCCACGGGCGGTCCTGGAAGAAGGGCAGGCATCGCTCACAGTCCGGGCCTGTGGTGTGGTGCTGGCACTGGCAGACCAGCTGGCCTGCCTCGCTGGGGCCACACTCGCTGGCGTGCCCGTTACACTTGCACCTGGGAGGACAGCAGGGAGGAGGAGGAGGAGGGGGCTAAGAGCCAGGCAGTAAAGCTCACACACACCCGTCCCCCGCCCCATGGGTGTGAGCTTTATCAAGAGCCTGGGTAACAGGCCCTCACTGCTCTGAGCTGTGTCAGAGTATAAACCCACATATGCTCCCCACTTGATCCATGGAGAACCCAAGGCACACGGAGACTGACCGGGGCCACCAGCCAGGGAGGGGCAGAGTCAGCAGGGCTGCCCTAGAAGGCTTCAGGAGGGACCCAGGGAGACATCATCTAGCTCCCATGGGGAGGGGTGGGCTGGTGGGCAAGGGGTGGGGGTGGGGGTCAGGGTCGCTGCCTCCTAGGGTTCTCCTTCAATGGTGTCTAAAAGGAGGAGGCAGAGGATGGCAGCCCCCAGCTTGTCCGGACACCCGGCAGACACTGTTGTGGAGCACAGCCCCGGGTCCTCCTTCTTCTGAACAGGAGAAGATGGAAAGAATACACACAGGGTCACTGTACCAAGAACGAGTCGTCGCATCCAACCATTTCAAGAGGTCACTTAGAAGCCCGAACCAATGATACTGCGAGAAGAAGTTCAAGCTGCACTGAAAACATTAGCCAAAAGCGAGTTTCCAGGAATTGATGGGATCACACCCGAGAGGCTTCAACAAGCTGATGGAGCACCGGAAGCATGCACTCTCTAGGCCAGAACATTTGGAAGACGGTTACTTGGCCAACTGACTGGAAGAGACCCATATATGTATCCATTTCAAAGAAAGGTCACTCCGCAGAATGCTCAAATTGTTGAGCAGTAGTATTAAGAAAACATGCAAGTAAAATTTTGCCGAAGATCATCCAACAACAGGTGCAAAAGTACATTGGCAGGGAGCTGCCAGGGGTTCGGGCCAGATTCAGAAGAGGACCTGGAACAAGGGATATCATCGTTGACATCAGCTGGATCTTGGCTGAAAACAGAGAATACCAGAAAGATGTCAACATGTGCTTTATTGCCTCTGCTAAGGCATTTGGCTGTGTGGACCATCATACACTATGGCTGACCTTGAGAAGAATGGGGATCCCGGAACACCACACGGTGCTCATGCAGAACCTGTACACGGATCCAGGGTTGTGTGAACAGAACCTGGGAATATGCATGGTTTATAATCAGGAGAGATGGTCATCGGGGTTGCATTCTTTCGCCATCCTTATTCAATCTGTACGCTGTGCAAATAATCCGAGAAGCTGGGTTCTCTGGATCTGAAGGAGGAGGTGGCATCGGGATTAGAAGAAGGCTTATTCAGATGACACAATTTTGCCTGCTGAAAGGGGGGAGGACTTGAACCGCTTGCGGATGAAGATCAAGGAGTGCAGCCTTCAGGGTGGATCAGCACTCAGTGTAGACCCACGGTCCTCTTAACGGGACCGGCAGGAAATGTGATACACAGAGAAACACGGAAGCTGTCAAGGATTTCGTCTTGCGTGGATCTGTCCTCAATGCTCATGGAAGCAGAAGTCAAGAGATCAAACGTCGGTCGCATTACATTGCGTGCATCTGCTGCACAAGAGCTCTTTAGAGTGTTCAGAAGCAGGGATGTTAACTTTGAGAATTGACACTTGTCTGGCCCATCACATGCATGTGAAAGTTGGACATTGATTTAGGAAGACCAGCATGTGAGTCACGGTGCTGGTGAGGAATATTAAAGGCACGATGGACTCCCCAGATCTGTCTTGGAAGAAGGATAGGCAGAATGCTCCTTGGAGGCAAGGAGGGCCAGACGTCATCTCATGACTTTGGGCATGTCAGGAGAGACCAGTCCCTGGAGAAGGACATCAGGCTTGGTAAAGTGGTGGGGGCAGCAAAAAAGAGGAAGGCCTGCAACCAGATGGATTGGCACAGTGGCTGCGTCAATGGGCCCAGGCGTAGCCCACTGTGAGATGGCACAGCACCGGGGGGTGCTTCCTTCTGCGGTACACAGGGTGTCCATGCGTCGGAACCAACCCGACGGCACCTAACAGTAACCACGACCACTGGGCCCATGTCCCCAACTACTGCCACAGGGACAGGAGATGGGTGGGCTCAGGAGGGGACAAAGAGCTTGCTTTCAGGAGCTGCAGGACGTACTCAGCTGGCCTGACCCCATGGGGCTGTCACTCTATAGGCCATTCCATTGTCTTGAGCTGAGAAGCTTAGAGGGTGACAGGGCTCTGAGCCTGCGGTGTGCTCTGTGCCCAGTCCTGGGCTGAGCAGTCAGCTTGCCTTTTTTTGCTGGTGGGAGGGGCCCTTATTGTCCCCATTTCACCGACAAGGACACTGAGGCTGAGGGCAGGCAGCGGCAGACACTATGTGACAGAATCTGAACCCTGCTGACGCATCCCGTGAGCCATGTGGCCACAGCTCCCTGAGGTCAGTTGAATACTGTCTTCTCAAATTGATGTCCACTTGGAATCTCACCATGTGATTCATTTGGAAATCAGGTCTTTGAAGAAGTGCTTGGTTAAGAAGAGAGCATTCTCACTCTGCCATCGATTCAATTCCTACTCAGAGTGGGTTTCTAAAGCTGTATGTAGATCACGACAGTAACAGCCTAATCCATCTCCTAAGAAGTAGCTGCTGTTTTCGAACCGCTGACTTTGGGGTTAGCAGCCCAACACATAACCCATTATGTCACGAGGCAAAACAGCAACAGAAAGCAACCTTGTTGCCTATGAGTCAGTGCTGACCCTATGGGACAGGGTAGAATTGCCCCTGTGAGTTTCGAAGACTGTAACTCTTTTTTTTT